TGGTTCCGACCCATAGCGACCCTGTACAGGGTTTCTGAGGGTGTAAATCTTTACGGGAGTAGAAAGCCTCATCTTTCTCCTGTGGAGCAGCTGGTAGTTTTGAACCGCTGACCTTAAGGTTCGCAGCTCGATTCGTAACCACGATTACAGGGAGAATAATCCAAGCTTTCCCAGCCATCCCAACTGTCTCAGTTGGAGACCCAAATATATGAATGGGTTCAGCAGAGATAAACTTTTCTCCCACGGAGCGGCTGGTAGTTTCGAACCGCTGACCTTAAGGTTCGCAGCCCGATTCGTAACCACTATGCTACCAGAGCTCCTTCCCTTTGCAAGGATAAATTAAAGAAGCTGGACGGGATTGCAGAAGTACCTCCACAGCTCGACCTGTAACTTTGCATCACCACGGGGTTAGCTCAGACATGGAGGTGGTCAAGCTTGTGTGTGTGTGCTCATTTAAACAAGTTGTTTGTGTTACTGGAGAGTAAAGCAGTGTCTAGCTAGGCTCTATTCTTCATGTCAAGAGCCTGTTGTAATGCCTCACTCTCTGCCATGAGGTCTGGAAGCCTGGGGTGCAGGATCCATAGCTGGGGAATGTCCATGTGAGATGAAGGTAGATGGATGAAATTGTGTTCATCTCTTTCCACCCCTCACATTCGCTGCAGGTCTAGCCTAGATGAATGTTTTCAAATTTCAAAAGGGCTTTGTGGGTCAAAGGTGTGGGGTATGACCTGAGAGACCCCTAAAAGGCAGAGCTGGGCCCACCAAGAGAGTCACAGGGAATTAAGACGAGGTGAGTTGTAAGAATTCCACTTAGCCCTGAACATACATAGTGAGTTCCCATCACAAGGGTGTGTCCACAGGAGAAGGACATCAGAAGGCTTTGCCCAGCAGTGGGACTGGCTCACAGTGACCCCCAGGTCATGCTTCATTCCATCAGGAGCCCAGTGAGCTGGCCAGAGGTAAGGAGAAGGAAGACCTGGGAATCGCCACTTGGATGATTCCATCTATGACGCAAGTGCTTTTCACCTTCCAAGGTTCTGTCCTGTCCTGTATTTGTGAGAGGCCCTTCTCAAAGGGACTCCTACGTCGTTACATGCAGGTGGCTCGGCCAGCACCTCAGGACCACCCTCCATGGACGGCTACCTTGTGCCCTTCCCTTCTGGCTCGTGCTCTGAGGGCCGCAGCTGCAGGAAGGCTCAATGACCCCTTCGTGCTGTCGTGAAAGTAGCTATTGCAGAGTGTGAGGTGATCCTAGCTTCTTGAGAATGAATGGAAGTCTGCCCCCCCCTCCCCCCCCCCCCCGTCCCCATTCGGTGGCCAGTATTTAATGAAGGGAGTGGGTGGGGGTATACTCTATGAAGAGTCCTGGCCTCAGCCCTAGCCTCAGCCAGGAACCCTAGTCTGCTGTATGAGAGTCCCATCCTACACCAGTTGCCCGTCGTAGATCCCAGCCCAGGACAGATGCTGCTCAGGTTTCACAGCTGGCTGAAAAGAGCCGCTGCGGCCTTTGCCTCCGTACAGAGATGGTATGGCTCCCATTGAGCTGTCAGCGCTTCCCAGCCCAGAGAGACAGCTGCCTTCCAGAGCTGGCTGGATTCTGTTCCGGCTTCCTTTGAATCACCCCCTGGGAGCTTTTACAGCAACAAATTACATGGCCAGCAGGTGGGTCTTGAAATGGCCCTTCTGGGCTACATTAGACCTTCGTGAGCCGGCAAGGAGGAGCCTCGGATGACTTCACAGGCTCAGGCAATGCAGACGGGGGTGAGAGTCTGACCACTCTTGAGTTTGTTATCTGGCGATGGTCACTGCCTCTACAGCTCTGAACTGTGGCCCTGGCAGTGAAGTGAAATCTGTCACGGACAGCAGTGACCCATACGGAAGGGTCCCAGGGCAGGGCTTCAGAGCCGGGGTGGGTAACTCGTAGAAGCCCACCCCCAGTTGGGGAGGCATGGAGTTTGTAGCTTCCCAACTCTGAAGAACTATTGTCCTAGAAGCCTGTGAATTGAGACCCGGTGTGCCCTCTGCAGAGGATACTGAAATAGTCAAAACACACATTTACTGAGCAATGTAGGCCCCATCCCTCTTGTTATCCAGGACAACCCTCTGGGAGATTCTTTTCCTCACTTTATGGCCTAAGAGAAGTTTAAGGTTCGAGGAGAAGAAAGAACTTGCCCAGAATCCCATAGCTAGTCAGCAGTAGACCTTAGAGTTGTACTTGCATGGTCTGACACCAGAGCCCATATCCTAAACCCACTGGATGCCCAACCTCTAAAGGGTTTCCCCGTTAGAGCCCTTCCCCTCC